TATTGACCAACTTGTAGATGACTCTGGATGTCAACTGGAGGACCTGCCGACGGCGATGTCTGACAATGGCTGGAGGGAACGAATCAGAAGAATCTGAGAAGAATTCTCGACCTGATGATGATAATTGAATTTCTTAAAGATAAAATGATTAGAAAATATTATAACAATTTTTCAAGAAAGTAAGTGTTATAACATACCTACGGACAATAATGGGTTTGTCCACATTCACATAAATTCAGTAGTAAAAACTATATATATCCTACAGTTGGAGATCCGTCTCCAGCTGTGCTGGTCAAACTCTCTGCCTCTGAACAAAGAGGATCCCCAGACGAGGTTATGTTGAAGGGCAGATTCTCGTCTCGGGAACCAGCCACAAGACCCTGTTTTATACGAGGTCTACCGTGAATTTTTGGCCGAGCATACGGTCTCAGATACCCCACATTAAATTCGGCCTTGTGAGACATCTGACCGCGTGAGGCAGTTGGTACATATCCTGCAGTTGAAGATTCGTCTCCAATTGTGCTGGTCAAATTCTCTGCCTCCGAACAGAGATGATACCCAGACGAGGCTATGTCGAAGGGCAGGGTCTCGTCTCGGGAAACAGCCACAAGACCCTGTTTTATACGGGGTCTACGGGGAATTTTTGGCCGAGCCTACGGGCTCGAATACCCCACATTAAATTCGCCCTTGTGCCACATCTGACCGCGTGGGGCGGCTGGTAGATATCCTGCAGCTGGAGATGTAGAATTCACTTTACTTACTTCTAGCAGTTGACTACTTCTTCTATGCGCCGCTGGCGAATCTTATATGTGTTGTTCTTGTCCTAAGTATTATCGTTCATTACCAACATTCGTGTGATTATTCTATTCAGTAACCTTCCCTAGGTTACAGCAATAAATTTCTCAAATCAACTGTTATAGCTCTTTCTTCCTATAAACTATTGTTTGAATTTATATGTAATTGTAGTATATGAACTTCATGATTGTGTCATCATTTTCTCTTTGAATTACATGTGATATCCATTTTAGTTGTTGCTGCTGTTGAAAGTCCTCAAGCTACCACCAGGAAGCAGACCACGAATTTCCACCTACCGTGTTGGATTGGTGTTCGCTCAAGGAAGTGCTTTGACTGGAACGCCTGTTGGGACTCTTGCTCATCCCATACCTCAAGTGGATCGCATATATCAGATCCATCGCTAAAGATGCTGCTAAAAATGGTTGATTCGCTCCAGTAAATATCTGACTCCCTCCCCGCCATACTGTACCTTTACAAGAACCAGAGCCGAACAAAAATGAATTATTGCTGTCAAATCTAGGCTAAAGTTGCCTAATCCTCAAGTGCCTGCCTTGATAGAGTTCAAAAGCATCTTTGCGGCCCTGTAGGCCATGGATTATTTTCCGCCCCATCCCCACAGACGAAACGTTACGAGACATTCTCTGCTCTATCGCTACTTCCATGGCATGTGTACTGGCGAGCGGCATTCCTTAGACTCACCAACCCTGACCTTTACAACTGGGAGGCAACATGCCACATCCACAAGAGTGAATCATCCCCGTTCCCTTCGTATTCCTATTGTAAGAAGTAAGTTTCATAAAGAAAGATTTTTCCCAAGAAATGCTGCTTTGTGGAAGAGACTCCTGGTATGATGTTTCTCAATCACTACAATCTTGACCTTTTCAAGTCTAGAGTTTACTGTTATCTTTTCCTTTCGTATTCCTATAATAAGAAGTAAATTCCATTCGGACAGTTTCTTCACAAGAAACCGTCAGGCTGTTTTCCCAATCAACTGTTATCTTTTCCTTTCGTATTCTTATAGTAAGAAGTAAGTTCCATTCGGACAGCTTCTTCACAAGAGCTGCTGCCTTGTAGAACCCGTCATGATGTTTTCCCAATCACTACAATCTTGACCACTTCACATCTAGGGTTAACCTTTTTTGTCCTGCTAGCAACATGAACTTCACTTCTTTCACTTTCTTATGCTCAGACAACACCGCATATTAACACCCGAGTGGTTCTTCAGCCTTGCATTGGGTAAACATCAATATAAAAAAAGTTATGTTATTCCTATTATTTGGTATAATTCTTTGTGATTCTGTAGCGCCAGGTTCGAATGAGTATGGTCCTTGCTAAGACCTACGGCTTTCATTCACTCGAAGTAATTTTTAACCATTGACATGAGAAAGCATTTGTATACACACAAGAGTTTAGATATTTTTAAGTAATGTGTTTTCTGTTATTTGGTATAGTTTCTTGCGATTCTGCAGCCTCACTCCACAAAGTTCAAAGAAGGATGGTCCTCGCTATGACCTACAGGCTTCATTCACTCAAAGACCCTATCAACCATTGACTTGGGGATTGATGGCAGTGAACTTACTCAACATGGCATAAAAGAAGCTGTTTTTAAAATCATTACAAGTAAAATTATCCAAAAGAAAATTGGGGTAAAACAAAAAATAAAAAGCCATGTAACTAACGTCAGGAAGACAGATCAGTTTGATAAAGTCAAATTGGCAACGGATCTCAAAAATGACCTACAGTCTGTTGTTAACTGGAGCAAAGAATGGCTTGTTAATTTTAATACCTCCAAAACAAAACTGCTCTATATTAATCATCTGGGAAACCCCTTTCTGCCTTCTATCAGTATGGCTGATGCTAACCTCCAGGAAAGTGAGTCTTTACAACTTCTTGGGCTAACATTCCCAGCCGACAAGAAGACTATATTAAATATATTATTAGAAGGAATTTTCAACGAGTGATATGAGGTAGCAGTCGTATACAGCCGACAATTTTGACATTCCCAAACAAGTTCGGCGGCATATGTGACATCCATGTGTGAGTCGTTTTTTTTTTTGTTTTTTTTATTAGAGTCGAGGTTTTAGGTTAATTTTTTGGTTTTGTATCAACTTGAGGCGTTTGGTGAAACTACAGCTAAGAAAACTTATTTAGTGCTGAAATTTTATTATCGCCCATACTAAATTTGTTCTAACTAATCCATACAAGGAGGCATCTGAAGTGTTTAGTATTTACTAATTCCATGTACAGAATTTTTTTTTTTTTTATGATAGTTTCAAGGCAGGTGCCACCACTGCTTTCATTGCAGTTCAAGAACATAGTTTCTGTTTCGGATGAGTGAATCGATAAAAAGAAGAAAAACAGGAAAAAGAAACAAATAAAGAAAAAAAGGATATATATTAAAATATAAGCTTCACCGTTCTGTTAAAAGGAATAAGCTTTCCTGTCTATAGTTACCTCCCTTGATTAAAAAGCAAGTCAAAAACTAAACTTATCTATTAACTATCTGAGAAACCTCTCTCTGTCTTCGTCCAGCATGGCTGATGCTAACCTTAAGGAGAGTGACTCGTTGAGCTTTCTCAGCTGACATTAAGTAGAAATACTATATTAAATCCATTACTAATTCAGCTGTTAAGAAAATCGTTTCATTGTGTCGTACTAGACAGTTTTTTTCTCCAGAAACTGTCTTACATATCTCTAAGCCCATACTCAAAATTTTGCTGCCATATATGGTCTGGTACCCTTGCTATTTACCTTGATTTAAAATCAGAAGAATCAGCAATATTATTGGTCCTGTTCTGGCAGCTCAACTTCAATTACTTGCCCGCCGCCATAAGGTTGCTTCTCTGTGTCTTTTCTAATAATACTTTCATGGTAATTGTTCAGATAAGCTCTTCGCTAGGGTACCTAGACTTCGAGAATTTCAGCGCAGTCTCATCAATTTACAGTTGAATTGGCTAGATGGAACCGTAAGTTCTATGCTAACAGTTTCTTTTCTCGCACTTCTCGCATGTAGAACTCTCTTCCGACTCCAAGGCCAAGTCAACCTTAATCTTTAATGTTTAAAAATTTGAATGCAATGATAATCTACTGTCTTCCTGATTATTCTTTTATTATTCTTGCTCCTTTATTAAAGTTTCTGTTTTTAATTATGACCAAGCCTTCTAACCCCTTGCATCTCAGCGGCTTTATTACCTTGCTTGGGGTGAATTTACAGATTTACAGATGATCTGGTTAGATGTAACCGTAAATTCTATACTTTTCTTTTCTCGCACTTCACACTTGTGGAACTCCCTTCTGTCTCCATGCTTTCCAATCAACTTTAATCTTTAAAAATTTAAATGCAATGTCAATTGCTATCTACTGTCTACTTGATTACTCTTCCCGCTCATTATTAATATTTCTGTTCCTAATTATTTCACACCTTCTAACCCCCCCCTTTTTAGTGGCTTTTCTGCCTTGCATGGGATGATCCTGATTTAAAAAAAAACAATAGTTTCCATTATAAAAGATACACAGTGCTAATCACAAACCTGGTATAACAAAAAAAAAACTGTGTACAAATACTTATCTGTCTATATTTCTGATATTATGGACACAGTGGATAAAGTGTAAAGGCGTTAGACCCAGTGGCAGGACCCAAAGAGTGTGAGTTCAATACCTGGTTTAGGCAGTGGAGGACTCGGAGAGTTAAATTAACAGGATATATCTGATAACTAACACCCATTAGACATGACACGTGGAACTAGAACAGTCTACCCTAGCGAGCGAAATAAACGGTTCAGTTCGACATTCCAACCACTTGAAGAAGGCTTGGGCGTACAACGGTCGAAACGTTGTAATAAATATTGCAACAAAGATGAAAACGATAGTGCGAACAATATAAATAGTGTACAAATGCTTATGTGCGCCTGTGAGTGTACACGGGGGATAATCATAAAAACCTGTTTATTCCCGGTGATGTCAGACACCTTGTTAAGGTCTAAAAGATATTAACACATCAGATGGACTCAAAAGTAAGCTTTACATTCATAACCTTGACACAGTAAGTAACAATTCCTGCGTTCTCGCATGAGTAGCTTGCTTTGCTCAAATAAGCGGGTTTTACATGGAGAAGGGTTAGGCAGCCTCAAGGAATCTTTTCTCCTGATGGACGAAGGATCGAAGGTGAAGTTACGTGTAATTCTCCAGAAAACCTTTAAGGAATCATGATTATTCATTTGATACTCAATACGTGAGGTTCGTTGAGTCATTTTATTTTCCTGAATAACATGGCGGAAAAATAGGTTTCTCCGTTCGATTGTATTGTATGGAAACCGTGCGAAGCTATGTACAAAGTCAAGTGAGTTAAGTTATTTTCTACTTCTGGAATTACATATATATATATGTATATATATATATATATATATATATATATGAATAAAATTTAAAATTCACATTCAACCTTAAAATTTTGAATTCAAACTCAGCGTTGCGACCGCACGTTCCAAAACAATAACACATTTCTCATAGCATTTTTTCAGATAACATCTATATTTTCGTTGTCCTCTTATTACCGAGAATTAAAAAACAAGAACAAATCTATTTCCATACCTGAGGATGTCTGTAGGATCAGACGAAAGCTTGTAAAAACTAAAAAAGACCTTATGCAACTGGAATTTATAAACAGGGATCATATCATTCATATACAGGTTCGGGGTTAGTGTATCTTATTGAAATTGTTTGCGAAGATGTATTCTCGCCATTTAAATCATTAACCTCTATATTTGTTTTTTGTATGAATGATTCATGTAATTACATATTTATATATATATATATATATATATATATATATATATATGAAAAAATATAGTTTTAATGTGTGCTATACCTATGGGATAAAGTGCTCAATATCAGAGATAGAGCGTATGTAATTATAAATATAAAAGTGAACATTGAAGTCAACACTCAGAGGCGACAGGCTGTTTCATGCTAGACGCAATCATGCTAGGCGGCCTGACGAATGCGACTTTGAAGACTTTGAAGATAGGCTAGGCACAAATATACACAAATGACAGATGTAACCTAGTCTATATGGCAACACAGCGCCATCTAACGTAAATTTTCTTTAATCTTAAGTCAAATACGAAGGATTTGCGGACCTATGTTTATATGGACTTTTGTCTTTGTTTTGATGTGAAGAACTCTCTCTCAAATTTTGTAAAAGTAATTTTCATATACACTCTCTCTCTCTCTCTCTCTCTCTCTCTCTCTATCTATCTATCTATCTATCTATCTATCTATCTGTTTATCTATCTATCTATCTGTTTATGTATATATTAAGAACTGTATTGTTAAAGACTAAGGAACCTTTCTGTTTATTAATCTTTTTTTTCCTTTTTTTCTTGCTTTCTCCTAAGATGTTTTTTTTTTATATTTCGTCTACGTTACTGAAAAAAAAGATGGCGTTTTGCCGAGCGCTTTCAACCGCCATCATGCCTGTATGCTTTGGTTTACAATAGGTTGTTTATTATTTTATTTGATAGATAATATTTTGGGTATTTGTGTAGTGTTGTTGGATTAGTTCATTAGAAATTGGGAGGGGGCTTCTATTTATTATTTGGAGGATTAGTTACGACATATGTTTAAGATGTTTCTGCCAGTATTAAATGCTATTTTATTTATGTTGTTTTTTCTTTTTTAATTATTCTGTCTTGCAGAATTTGTAATCGTTATTTGCATTTGTTTTAGTAGAGAATAGGGTATTCATATATATATATATATATATATATATATATATATATATATATATATATATATATATATATATGAAGAACTATACTCTTAAGATGTGTTATATTTATGGGAGAAAATGCTTAATATCAGAGATAGAGCGTGTGTAAATATAAAATGTGGTCTGACGATTGCGTCTAGCATGAAACAGCCTGTCGCCTCTAAGTGTTGACTTCAATGTTCACTTTTATATTTATCTATATATATATGTGTGTGTGTGTGCGTGAGTGCGTGTCTGTGTTTGAGCGTGTGTGTGTGTGTGTGTGTGTATACATCTCTCTCTCACTATCTCTCTCTCTCTCTCTCTCTCTATATATATATATATATATATATATATATATATATATATATTAGTTCAAACGTTATCTTTAGAGGATGCTATTATTTGAAATGGAGGCCTGGAGTTTATTTTGGACAGTGTATAATATTTATCAGCCTGCAGTGTTTAAAACAAAAACGGAGTGTCTATTTCAAATACGGGTATCAACTAAGAATAAAATTTGGTGTAATTAAAAATATCGGATTATAAAATCATATAAATAGTGATTTTATAACATGTGTATGTTATAATTTTCGAACAAATAATTATATTTGCTCTACTCTGTATTGAGCACTCTTTTAAGAATAGTATTTGTTGGTTATTGAATTTATTCCGTATACACCAATGCTATATATATATATATATATATATATATATATATATATATATATATATATATATATAATCACCCTTGTGCAAATTAATTGAAACAAAATGAATAATTCCGTTATTATTTATTTTTTTCATTTTTATATTGAAACATATTGAAAACCCAGTGCACATGTTAGTACTTAGTATGTCCATTCCACGGAGTCGTTCCTTGGAGACTGACCAGAGATTCTTGACTGGATTTAAATCGGGAGAGTTTTCGGGCCAGTCTACTTTGATTTGCGAAACACGAACACACTGGTAAGGCTTGCCAGTGTGTTCGTGCAGCGTTACAATTCTCTTACGTTTCCTTGGAGTAACGAGCATCGCGGACCATGGCCGTAGGACAACTAATCAACAGTCGAGACAGCAGTGACTGGGCGTGATAAAAATCCTATGCAATCACGGATGACGCAATATTTATGAAGGTGAATCAAATTTCATCATACAACCCGAAAATAGATTTATATCACTACACACTACTGCAAATGACATAATCTGTGAGTGGGTGGGGAATAGAAATCGAATACACCCTGTCACTCCAGTGGGTCTAAAACTGACCATATGGAATATATATATAAACTAAAACGGTTGGTTCAATTAATTTGCATAAGGGAGTATTTATGTTTATATATATATATATATATATATATATATATATATATATATATATATATATATACTCCCTAGTGCAAATTAATTGAACCAACTGTTTTAGTTTCCTTGTTTTGCTTTTATAACTGCCTTCATACGCTTTTGCATATTAGAGACCAAATTAGCAGGCTCGATTTTGCATAGTAGAGGCCAAAGTATTAGGTTGGTGCAAAAATAACTTCGTTTTCTAACATATGTTACTATGTGAGAAGACGAGCTTATTTTTGCACCAACCTAATAGCTGGCTCGATTTTTTGCCATTCTTCATTAAGTTTGACTTCTAAGTAGCTTTTTAAAGAATATTTATACACTCCCCCCCCCTCTTGTAAGTAAACATGATCACAGATGTTCAATGGTATTCAGGTCAGGGGATTGCGGAGTCAACTTCATGATCGTCACTTTTTTTTTCAAGACACCCCTTCTAAACACTGGATGGTGTATGGTGTAATGTCTTGTTGGAAGATTACTCTATCTGGTATGTTACTGTTGGAAATGTTCTCTAATAATGTTTGGTAATATTAGTCTAACTTGCTTGTGTAAGTTCATTCTACCCTCACATGGGAATAACATTCTGGTCCCGGAAGACGACATACATCTCCAAACCATTATGCGCCCATCTCCAAATATTACAGTTGGGGGCAATAAATTGAGCCTCATATGTTTCCTTAACTTTTCGACGAACATAAACAACTCGAGTGGTTCCAAAAATGTGATAAAAATAAAAGTTTTAGGGATAATTTTCTATTCAATAAAAATACAGTATGAATTGGCGTAATAAAATCAATTATATTCAATAAATTAGTTTCAACTAATAAAAGAACTTCAAATTTGCTTTCATCAGATCAGACGACTTTGGCCCAATCCTCAGCTGTCCAATTTTCATGCTGTTTTGCAAAAGAAAGTATCTTTTTTTTCTTATTGACCTCAGACAGCAATGGCTTTTTCCAGCTTTACATTCTTTGAGGCCAGCATTTACTTTTTTTCTCGCCAGCGAGTCGATATCACTTCGCTGAATTTCGAGAGGCAACAGTCACGTTAGAAGCAGTTTTTTTTTTCCTATCATCGAGAGTTACCCTCTTTAGCAGTCCGTTTTCCCTAGCTTTTGTACAGCTTTTCCGGCCTTGACCATCACGATTTTTGAAAGATTTCGTTTCGTTATATTTTTGAATGTTTTTTTTTTTTTTGTACAGCATTTATTGAGCATTTCACTTTTCTTACAATTTTGACTTAGAATAACACTTCTTTGAAACCTGAAATGGTTTCAGCCCTTTTAGTTCCAGTAATGTTTTTCTTCAGAGACATTTTCAACAAAGAAGAACCAATTATTAATTGATACTAAACTTTTTACTAAAAAAATTAGAAAAGATTTAACAGTACAGATTAAATTTTAACAGTACATATTAAATTTCAAATAAATGATTTTGCCACTTACGCTAAAAAAGTGAAAATGAACACAAATCAATATTGATTCCGATAAATGGCATTGAAACATCAATTCAAGAAGGCTTATTATAGTATTCTCAGCCAATATATGTACAAGTTTCAATTATATTTCTAACTTTTTACATCTGCTCCATAATTTTATCCACGCGCGTATATATTCGTGCTCTAAGTCAAACCTCTTATTGTTTGCTAATGAAAACGTGCCTCTTTGCGTTGGGCAGCATCTGTTTAGCTATATAGTTTATGCAGTTATCAATATTTCTCCTGTAAAAACATTTTTACGATATTATTGTGTACAAGTTTCAATCATATTTCTATTTTTTCTACACCTGACCCATAATTTTGTCCATATATATCACAATATATTTTCAATCTGGTTGTCTGAATCATCTTCAAGAAGCGAGAGCAAGAACTAAAAGGTCAGCCAATCTAACAGTGATCTCATCCCACAATCCTCACACTTGCTCCATATGTGGCCTCCTTTGTAAATTACTAGCGGATCTTAAATGCCACTTAATATTATTACACAAAATTTCATAACTGATTCAACTAAGATGTCAGATCCTCATACGTCGAAACCGACGGGAGAGTCCATTTATTTATTTTACACACACACACACACACACACACACACATATATATATATATATATATATGTGTGTGTGTGTGTGTGTGTGTGTGAATGAGATAACCCAAAATTCTAATCTCATTTTGTCTTCGTTATTAGTTTGACTATTGTATAAACATGAATTTGATGAATAAATAACAATAGAGAAGAGTTTATCAGAACAATTACCGTAAAAAGTACTTATAGAAAAGGCTACATTACGTCGCTAGGAAAGTGACTGAAGCCGAGATGCCAGGTTAGGACCAATAACATTACCGAAAGTTATCTAAGATTAAATGGGAACGTTTTGACTTTAATTCCTTCCGTATAATCTCACTTGGGATGAAGTGACAACAAGTACCCTCGGATTCCAAATAGGTTTTTATGCTAATTTTATAAGTATTTAATGCTCATCATTTACATTATTCGGACTATTGTCCTCGTCTTTGTCGCCATATTTATCACAACGTTTCGGCTGTTGTATGCTCCGGCCTTTTTCAGGTGGTTGGAATATCGAACTGAACCCTTTGTTTCACTGACTCGTCCCTAGAAGAACGGACCAGTATTCCAATAGATAATCTGATGGAGATGTTGACATTCTGTACACAAACAACACACTTCGGAACGGGATCACACATATATCAACAGGATGCTGGCTTAGCAATGGGCTCGCCATTATCACCAGCCATAATGATGTAAATAATGTATATATATTCTCATCTCAGAAATATAGACAGAGATTTAACGCTGTCTTAATAATATGTCCAATATGACCGAGAAAGTAAAACTGACAACTGCTCTCAAAAGCAATCCGCGATCAGTTGGTAAATGAGGCAAAAAATTTTAACGACTTCACACGAAATTGCTATCCTTTAATCATCATAAAGAAGCATTTCCCGACTCCCCAACATCCAGGACAGCCATTTATTTAACATTGCATTTCTCATGTTTATTACTTACATGAATTGTAGTTATTTTATTTAGCCAATTACTTTGTTGGCTGCTAAAAAAATAGATTAAAAGAATTTTGATTCAAATATAAAAAAAAAAAAATTAAGCTCAGTTCATTTTGTTGTGCCAGATGAATTTGTCAGTCATGGAACAGAGACAGGATCGCCCAAACGTGAATCATGTATGACACCTAGTCAGGTATGGACCAAAAGAGAAATGATCGCTGAAGCGTGTATCAAGTATGGCAGCTACTGAGTCATGAATCGAAAGAGATATGATCCTCGAAACTTGTATCACGTATGACACCGAGTCGGTCGTGGATCAAAGACACATAAGCGCCCAACCTTATATGACACCTGGTCAGTCACGGAACAAAGAGACATGATCGCCCAAAATTGTATCATGCATGACACCTAGTCAGTTATGGACCAAAAGAGACATGATCGCTGAAGCGTGTATCAAGTCATGGATCGAAAGAGATATGATCCCCGAAACTTGTATCACGTATGACACCGAGTCGGTTGTGGATCAAAGACACATGAGTACCCAACCTTGTATCACACCTGGTCGGTCATGGATTAAAGAGACATGATCGCCCAAATGTGTATCACGTATAATTCTTAACTGACTAAATGACTATTTATGTGTTATTGACTACTGATTTATTCATTAATTATTCGCTGCTGATTACTATTATTATTAATAATATTACTTAGGATTATGCTGCATTCTTACAGTTTCTTGATGAAACACAGAACAGGATGTCGCCACTCGTTTTTTACCTCAGGGTACACTCCTAATTATTTATTTATATATTAACTGACGATGCAGTTTTGATATTGACATTCAGCTAGGTTCAGGGTCGCCCAAACGACGCCAGCGACAAAAGTCTTGGTTTGATGATATTAACAGGTAAACTGGAATGATGGTGGCTGAGGTTGTAAAGGATGGATGGAGTGGTGACTATAGCAGTGCAAAATGGGCTAACTGACTAAATTATTATGATGCTGACATATATATATATATATATATATATATATATATATATATATATATATATATATTCAAACAAATGGATAAATATAGGTAAATGTACGAGCGTGCGTTCGTATACAAATACATATGTATATATTTTTTTTTCTGTAGTTCACTGCTACCAGCAAGCAGAATTTTTTTTCTCCTGATGGTGGCCATGTTGGCCTAAACTAGTCGAGGAATCTAAATGAAATAATAATAATAACGAAAAGATATTTTATACAACCCAGTATGTCTGAAGATTTTAATTTTTTAATATTTTTTATTGTTCAATATATACATATATATATATATATATATGTGTGTGTGTGTGTGTGTAAAAATATATAGAAAATAGGAAAGAACTCGTTAGGTAAATAATCCAAAGTTCTTTAGCATTTTTGTTATTATTTTCAAAAAACAGTGCTCGATACAAAAGTTGGAACAGAGCTTGGTACTTTAATTCATAAGCACGCTGATTAGATTAAAAAGACAGACAATCGTTGATTATGCCTTTCTTGTTATATATTATATCTTATATATGTATATATATATATATATATATATATATATATATATATATATATATATATATATAATACGTATTATATTATATAACAATATAATATATATTATTACATTTTATTATATTATATTATTATAATATAATATTATATATTATATTATCTGTTCACAACAGATTGCTCCTCAAATACCCATCACATCCGTCCTGGGTATTACGATAAACAACATCAGTGTCCTGGGTAACATGAAAAACTATATCCGATAGCAAGTCCTCCGATCAGGTTTTGAGGAGCGTGGAACCACCCCTTAATTGCTGTTGTTTCCAGGTCCATTCTGACCCGCGGTGGTAGCACCTGTTAGGGTCCCAGCTATGGGTAAATAGTTAGCCTCCCCAGACTGGGGTCAAAACAATATGAAAGTATAAAAATAGATTTTAATACCATCAATATATTTTTGTAATAAATCATTACCAGCAAAGTGATTTTCGAAAGAAAAAATATTATCAGCATTTTTTAAGAAAAAAAATTACCAGCATTGCATTTTGAGAAAAAAAAAATTTTTACTAGCGATACATTATTATTATTGTTGCTAAAATATTTAAATGAATTGCAGTTTAATTTTGGATTTGAATTTAGGCCAAGATTAACATTTCATTTTGAAAATAAGAATTATAAATTTTAATTTGCAGAGGCGATGTTGTTGTCAAAAGCAACGGAAGGAAAAAAAATCCTTTAGCAATCAAAGGGGACAACTCTATTTTTTCGATGAAAATCAATAAGGTGATAATAATATTATTAATGTTAATATATTAAATAAAAGTAATGATATCAATAATAATAAAATATGCCATGACAAAATAAAATAAAATTACTAATAAAAATAATAGATATCAATGAAAATAAAATAAGATAAAATAAAATAAGATGAAATATAATGAAATAAAAGCCATATAAATAGAAACATATAAACATGTAAATAAAAATAATAAATGCAAATGAAAATAAATAAATAAGCATGTTACTAATAGTAAATAATAGTTACTAATACTAATAGTAAAGCTAAAGGAAAGAGAAAAAGTCAAAATAATAATAATAATAATAATAATAATAATAATGATAAATGGTATGAACACCACCCAGACCCGGTTACGGAGATAGGACCTGTTACAATTCTATGGGACTACACAATACACACTGACAAAACAATCAAAGCCAACCGCCCAGACATTGTTATTAAAGACCACAAACAAAAAAAAAGTGGCTCCTTATTGATATGGCAGTCCCTGCTGACTGCAATGTATATTTGAAGATATTCAAAAAGCTGTAAAAATACAAGGACCTTGAAATAGAAGTCTCGAAAATGTGGCATATGGGAACATCAACAATCCTTGTTGTAGTTGGAGCCCTAGGATTGGTTGGAAAAGATTGCAGTAGGCTAATTGAAGGGATTCCTGGAAGACCATGCCTCAAAGAAATACAAAAAAATGTTCTCACAAATACAGCCACACTTTACAGAGGGCTTTATCTATGTAATTTTTTTTTTATTTTTTTTTTTTGGTCAGTGGAAAGTGTCATGATGCCATTTCTAAACTTAGGTCTCTGGGCGGGACCCGGAAATAAATGTGTAAACGCCAGAAATCAAAGAAAATAAAAATAATAATAATAATGATAATAATAATGGTTATGTATAAAAATCGTTATGATAAGATAAGGGAAATGATGGATTAGCAAAACAGTTAAATACGTTACTGTTTAATATTAACAATAGTTGTGTAGTAAAGGTAACAAAAAGTAAAAATATTAATTAAATAAATAATATTAATGCTAGTATATGTGGTCCCTGTGTCATGAGACTCCGTGCTGCGCAATAAGTGTAAGGTATTATGTATATTTCTTAACAACCACACACACACACACATATATATATATATATATATATATATATATATATATATATATATATATATATATATAAAATTCCCAAGAGGATAGAATCCAGATAGAACTCTATCTCCAAGACAGTAAGAATATAATATAAAAGGCTCAAACACTAATATTCCATGGTTATAATTTATTACATTGGAATCGTAAGGGCTGATGATATATATATATATATATATATATATATATATATATATATATATATATATATATATATATATATATATATATATGTATTTAGATATATATATATATATATTTATATATATATATATATATATATATATATATATATATATATATATATATATAAAATTCCCAAGAGGATAGAATCCAGATAGAACTCTATCTCCAAGACAGTAAGAATATAATATAAAAGGCTCAAACACTAATATTCCATGGTTATAATTTATTACATTGGAATCATAAGGGCTGATGGTATATATATATATATATATATATATATATATATATATATATATATATATATATATATATATATATATGTATTTATTTATATATATATATATATATTTATATATATATATATATATATATATATATATATATATATATATATATGTATGTATGTATTTAGATAAAAAAAAAGAACGCTAAGATATACAATCCGGTGTTCTTAGAGATATTTTTATTTTTACAAAATAGTGCTCAATGTAAATTTACAGAGCATTAATATTAAAAATTAATTGATTTAAAATATGTTTTTTCCGCTACAGTTCTAACCATGTTTCAATTTTTGAAACATGGTTAGAAGTGTGTCATGGAAAAAAACATATTTTAAATCAATTAATTTATAATATATATATATATATATATATATATATATATATATGTTGAACATAGACAGAGCCAACCTGTGGTTAATACTGCAACTATGCTGAGCAGACCTTAGTTACAGTTTCTGGGAGAGAGCGTGATCAACAATCTGAACAACGCCAGCCCACTTAAACCCTCGGTCGCAATGACTTGCGTGTTCGTGCTAGCACAGCTATCGTCGTCCCCAACCCCAAATGTTCCGTCTACCCAATTTCACACACAAGACTTGGGTGAACCCATGGTATGGTATCAATTTTAAAGGTGCCACACGCTGGTATCCTCCTCATCCAGACCGATAACATCAGGAAATTCTTCTGAAATTCTTCCTGAAAAATCAACCATGCTGAGATTCGAACCCGGATCTCATGTAACTCTTAGAAAGATTTGTCTATCCCTCCTACACGTTGTTCTGCTATCCATTTACATTCTGGGCAGGTTATACATTGTTTTCTCTCTCTCTCTCTCTCTCTCTCTCTCTCTCTCTCTCTCTCTCTCTCTCTCTCTCTTCCTTGATATGTCTCGTTAGTGTCAAACTGGTGAAAACTTCTTTGTTCATTATGCATCCTAGAAAGTTCTTATTCTCAGTATAACTGGACTTTTTATTTCCATTTTCCCTAATAATTGCTTATAAAGAGTAGTAACTCCTTCCCCACCACCAAGGTCTTTTTTAGGTGGGGACCCAGGCGCGTACGCCCGGGTCAATGACAAAAATTGCCCTCGTCGGTTGCGCTGGCCTCGGTGCGAGCACCGATCCCTTCCTCTGGTGCAATGGGAGGGTGCGGCTTCGGGCAGCTGTTCCCCAGGGTTGGGCACCTCTTCAGTATTATTTTCTCAGTTGCCCGTCTGACAGAGAACCCTCTGAGCAAACTCTGTCCAAAGACAGAGACGCAACTGAGAGATGATAAGCCTGCGTTGAAAACCCCTTCAAAGAGGAATTTATAGGCTTACACACTTCGCCCATGGCATTCTCAGCATCCTTCTGTAGAACCACATTTCAGTTGCATACGAACACAAAGCGAATTTAAATTTTAACAACAAACTCAATGCAGTTGTATTTCACTGGGATTTCGTGGCATCGATTTTTTAAAAAATGGCATTTTAATTAAAATATGAATATATATCCTTGTACAAATTAATTGAAACAAAACGTATAATTCCGTTATTATTTACTTTTTTCGTATTTTTCCAATGAAACATGACCCAGTGCACTTGTTAGTACTTCGTATGTCCATTCCACGAATTCCTTCATTGCAGATTGACCACAGATTCTTGATTGGATTTAAATCAGGATAGTTTCTGGTCTAGTCTGTAGTCCTTTGATTTGCTCACTGGTAAGGCTTGCCAGTGTGTTCTTCCAATTCCTTAATTATTTCATATTTAACGCGAAACAGAAAGCTCATCAAATTTAAAAAAAAATAAAAGAACGGACGATATAAACAAAGTTAAAGAAACGTGATCCATTATACTAGACATCAACTCAACCACAATTACAATTAAAAGGATTTATCTAAACTTTGTATAATATTTGTTATAACTACATCTAAAAGAATAATTAACTGAATTAATGCAAAACAATATAAGAGCCTAAAACCTGAAGCAATAACCTACTCTACCTGCAAATTTTGGTTTAAAACAAGCAAGGCGATAGAGTCACTAAGACGCAAGGAGTTACTGAGTGTTAGAGAAAACGATAAAAAAAAGATCAAACTTAATAAAAACAATTTTTTAATCGTCAAAATGTTTATGTTATTATTAAGAGGAAAGACGAAATTATACTTTGATTATTTAATTATTTTTTTCTTAATCTTTTTTAACACGTTGGGAATTTTGGTTAAAAATATTGTTTTTCTGGCATCAGCGGTGGACCAAAATTAGCATTGGAAATTTTAGTGTCTTTTTCGTGGTACAAAACACATTTCTAAAATATTTGCAAAAATCAAATCGGGTTTTAATGAAATTTTCAGGACATGTTTATAAATGAATGAAAATTATTTTTTAAATTTTGTTTTAGAAAATCTTGGTAAAAAATATTTTAATCAGCTATCTAAACAAGAAAAAATCTTTCCAGTCAATTTAAATTTGTTTTTGAAATACATCAAATTGGAATATTAAATTTAATCTATTAGCTTGAAAGTAAAAGCTACGAGAAAGATTTTTTTTTTTCATTAATTTGAAACTCATTTTAAACCTTTGGTATTGCATTTTTTGTGGAGGTCCCTACATAAAATAAGCAGGTAATTCTTTCTGATCCCAAATGAAATTCAGCGAATGGGACCACATACTTAGATGATGACTCCAAAATTAAACGCATTATTTATATCCCTTTAAACATATCATAAGTAAAATTCATAAAAATGAAAAAAATACATGGCTTTCAGACTTCGTCTTTTTCAAAGTGATATTTTGGGGTTACCATAACGCAATCTGTCCGTCTTCTTAATGTTATTTTTTTTCGTTAAAATCTCTTAAATCAAAAAATAATGCTAAGTGCATTTTGTCACACACGTGCGATTATATATATATATATATATATATATATATATATATATATATATATAATAAGGGCTTTGATTTTTTTTCAGCAATTTTATTTTGATTCCAATTCTCACGACACCCGTAAATATTCTCCGCGACACACTAGGGTGTCGCGACACCCCGATTAACCAGTACTACTTGATATGTATGTGGTGGGGAGGCAGAATGTAGTGTAATCAGGACAGATAGATATCAATCTATCTAATCGCTATTTTGTCTCCATTCAAAACCCCAGATCAATTTATTTTTCAAATAGGATTCTACCTATCTATCTATCTATCTATCTATCAGACTATGTATCTCTCTCTCTATCATTCTCAGGTTGTTCGTATCTATCTATCTATCTATCTATCTATCTCTCAGTCTATGTATTTGTCTCTTTATCATTCTCAGACTGTTCGTATCTATCTATCTATCTATCTATCTATATATATATATATATATATATATATATATATATATATATATATATATATATATCTGTCTGTCTGTCTCTATCATTCTCAGGTTGTCCGTATTCATCTATCTATCTATCTATCTATCTATCTATCTATCTATCTCTCATTCTCAGGCTGTTCGTATTTATCTATCTATCTATCTATCTATCTATCAAAGAAGGTAAAAATAAACAGAAACTCAAGCATAACATTATATGATTTAATCCACTTTTAATCGTAATGTTCAAACTTATAGCGGAGAATTTTCCTAAATTTATTTCATAAGAACTGCAATCGGTAACCAAATCTAAAAAAGATTTAAAAATAAAAAATAATGTTAAAGTCGGCTGTAGTTGCGTTAGTAATATCGATAAACATATATTCCAAGATAATAACATTATATCAAACAAATATATTTCCAACAAAGCGGTTTTTTTTAATAAATGCAACTACTGAAGAAATATTATTTGTCCCTTAAACGGTCAATGTACGACCGATAATATTGTATACCGAGCTAGCATTCATTCTGATAAAGATGTTAAATAACCTTTTCAACCCTTTTTGGCATTGTCATGATTAGGTTCTGGCAAATCTCATCTCCAAGCATTGAATTTCATTCGGATATGAAATTCACAATCAAATCCTATTTGTTGCTCAACTGCTTTCTCGAGAAGCTGTACTTTATAATGCTCCATAAGTTTTCCATGGGGTTGAGGTCAGGAGATTGGGGCGGCCATATCATAATACTCACCTGCTTCTCATCAAAGTATTCCTTCATCAATTTTGATTTGTGACAGGGAGCATTATCTTGTATAAAAATGAGCTTGGAGGGGTCGATTTTCACCCTTTCAGCAGAAGGAAGCAGACAAAACTCTAAAATTCTCTTGTACTGCTCGCTGCTGAGGGTCTTTTCAATAGGTTTTAAGAAACCAGTTCCATGAAAAGAAAATCATCCCTAGAACATTATACTGAACGGATGCTTGACAGTACTTACTGCTAAATTCAAAGAGCTTTCAAAGCTTCTTCTTCGGATTTTAGATCGCTTATCCTTTGAATTTAGCTCAACGTTCGTTTCATCACTGTACGAGTCACTTTTATTGAACATCACTGTACTTTTCCCAAGGTAAGTGAATGTAATATATATATATATATATATATATATATATATATATATATAAACCTTGTTATATATATACACAAATAATATTGTTCTAATTGCATTATAATAATATATTATATTAATAATTTTATACATACATTATATATATATATATATGTGTGTGTGTGTGTGTGTGTGTGTATACAAGGCGATGGAAAAAGTACTTCACATTTTAAAATTCTCATAATTTATTTATTAACTATAATTTTACAAGAAATAGATATGAGAGGAAAGCGTTCAGCATGAAGTTTTATAATTCGATCTGGGCACGTGATTTATATCGATCCCAGCGTGCAGGTTGGAATATGCCTGAAAACCATAGCACGGGTTGAACCAAACTTTTTGAGTGAAATTGGTTAGACGGAAACCTTGGTGCCCACGACGATAGTTTTGCTAGCACGAAGTCACAAGTAATCGTGACCGAGTCCTTGTTCAGATTGTTGATCATGCTAGATAACACGCTCTCCCCCAGAAACTGTAACTAATGTTTGCTCAGCATAGTTGCAGTATAAAACACAGGTTGGTTCTATGGGTATTGAACAAACACAAATGTGCCTGAGGGAAAGTCTGTAATAGGCATTGGATAGCGGAACTGATAGACGAGTATCTTCGAATTTGAGAGGCCAGCTATTATATATACACACACACATAATGTGACTGAAAAGTAACTCCCCATTTTAATTTTTGCAAGGAATTGATATGAGAGGAAAGCGTTTAGCATGAGGTTTTATTTAAAATTCGATATGGGCACCAGATTTCGCTACCAGCTTCTCGAGCCGACCAGGAATCGCGTCAATTGATTTCACCAGGAAGGCTTGCGGTATGGCTAGCATAATTTCTTTTATTCTCCTTTCATGTTCTTCCAAAGTTTTGGTTTAATATAGTAGATTTGCTAGTTCATCAAACCCCAAAGACAAAAGTCACACGGTGTTAAGTCAAAACTCCTGGCTGGCCATTCATACATAAAATAGGAAGTTATATTTCAGTCTCCCTCTCTCTCTCTCTCTCTCTCTCTCTCTCTCTCTCTCTCTCTCTCTCTATATATATATATATATATATATATATATATATATATATAAAGAAAAACAGACCACTTTAAGGCTCCATTGTAATAGTTTATTTCACTGACACTTTTAATTTTCTCTGGATCCTCAGACATCACTTTCAAAGGTGACACAAAAAATGAAATTAAAATTTACATTTTTAATTTCATTTTACATTTCACCTTTTGAAGTGATGTCTGAGGATCCAGGGAAAATTCAAAATCTCTGGTGAAATAAACTATTACAATGGAGCCTTAAAGTGGTCTGTTTTTCTTTGAATTATTAGCTACGAATTAACATTGAGCTCTCAGGATTTCATCCTCCTTTGGATTATCATACGGATTACCAAGATTTTCGTTACTGATATATATATATATATATATATATATATATATATATATATATATATATATATACTATTTACATTATTTGGACTATTGTCCTCATCTTTGTCGCCATATTTATCACAACGTTTCGGCCGTT